ATACCTCAAGTAAAAAATAAATACTATAAACTTCACGCAAACATAACTGTTACCTATATAATTTGCGAATCTAAGTTATAATAACAAAGGCATTTATTAAAAATATTTTTAACTAGAGAAAACACGTTTTAACTAAAATTTGGTCTTAACTTTAACATAGGAATACATTTTATAACTAAATAGGTATGCAATTCCTTGACTTACCATTTGTTTTTTAATTTGCGATGAAAGTTTTACAATTTCAACTAACTTCTCAAACTCAGCAAACTCTTCAGCGTTTAAGATGGCTCTTTAAAGCGGTAGTTGTGCAGCCTATTCTCGAGTACATTTTGTCACACTTAATATCACATCTTGCTGCTTAATCATCAATCTCAAAATAATAGTTCCAAACAGGACTTGTTTTTGGCTTCATGATTGCAATTAAATTACACACACGACTTAAATTTCTAATTAACTAAAAATACAATAAATCTATTTATGTGGATGCGTCGCTGAGTTCCGTTCAAATTCCGTTATAAAACTTGCGGAAACAGAAGCAGAAACGGATGTTAAAAACCATGCAGAACTTCCGCAGTTGCGGAAACAGAAACAGAGTTCTGTTGCAATCTACGTCGCGTGTGTCGCGTATTACGGTAGAACAAAAGCAGCAATGGTATTTGTATAATATATAAAAGTAATAAATGAGTTTGCAAAGGTAAATGTCATAGTAAAATATTCATCTAGGTGTAAATTAATTAAAACAATGATTATTTGTAAATAATCAACTTACTGATGAAATGTTATGCCTTTATTAGTTTAATTACACGTCTTTGATTAGTTTTTACAACTGATTATACTGCAGTGCACCATTATAAATTTATAATAACATAAATTCACGTACGACGTTCCCCGCACAATATAATCACAAAATGGTGAATTATGTTCATCAACCTGTATAAGCGGCGATAAGGTCACGCGTCTATGCGACTTCTATTGTCTTATTATTACAATTTCTGTGCTTGTCACCCTTGGGTATAAAGATTAAATGTCTGGTCATCAGTAAAAAGCGTCAGCAGTTCAGAAAATGTGATTTAGATCTGAAAAACGATTTGCGGACTGTGTTAAGTACTTAACGTACTGCTGACTCACGCAAACTTCATTTCTACCTGGATTTTAACACAAAACAAATGCCTAGTTAAATAACGCAAGCGAAAGTCTTAGCTGCCTAGGGCGTCAGTTTATGTACCATTGTAAGTGCACGTTCTGCCCTGTTGTCGATTTATGGTTCAGTTACTTGATAGGTATCAATAAAACTTCAATGCTGTTCATACAATACTACAATCGGATCTTGTACAACCTGTTTTACTTCCTACTTCGCCGTTTATAATTGTGTTGTTACAATTAAAAGTGATGTATTTATTTATTTGTACTGTGCCCGGCGTGTAGAGATACCATATGACAGGATTTGTCCTGACTTGTCATGACTTTTGGACTCTTGTTGGGAATGCATTTTTTACGTGGTAGAGTCTGGCTGCAGCTATATTATAGTTGTAGCACGAATGGCTCGACCGGGGAAGTACCACGCTCTCACGGAATCATCATCATCATCATCATTACAGCCCTTCACAAGTCCACTGCTGAACATAGGCCTCCCCCAAGTAATGCCACAAACGGTCTGAGCCACCTGCTCCATCTTGCATGTCTTACCAGGTCGTCACTCCATCTCTCACGGAATACCAGTGTAAAATAGCAGCTTAACACTTATGTTTTGTATGGTGAGTGTAGAGATCCGGAGACTCTTTTTTACAGGAAACGAGGCATTCCATCTTAATCCTCAAGGGTGACAACGCATCTGCGTTTTGATATTAATCGAGAATAAATGTAGGTGTGTATGGGCCACAGCATCCACTTACCATCAGGTGGACTGTGTGCTCGTTCGTCACCCAGTGCTATAAAAATAAATATTTCAGTAAAATACGGTAGAAGTTTTATGTCCATCAATTTATCTATTATAGCCTAGAAAAGTTCACTATTGAATATAGGCGTCTCTAAATGATTGCCTCATCGGGTAGAAAGTTTGCGTGGGGGGACGTAATCTGCGACATGGATTGATCACGTGAATAGTGATCCACAGTAGTTCATTGCGTTTGCAACAAAATGTCACTTTCCAATGGAAATCAGCTTATTTGTCAGGACTTTTTAATTTTACACCTGGTAACCCTAAGCGTGTGTGGCTTTTTGTCGGAATACTTCGCGGGCACGTGCACAACAGTTCACCTAAGTTTTTTAACAGTGATAATAACTTAATGGCGGGGTACCTACGTTCCGCGAATTCAAAGGTCGTGGGTTCGAATCCGTCATTCGACTAATGTCGTGTACCACTCCTAACACAAGCATTTTAAGCTTAACAAGAGTGGTTTTATGGAATATTAGTAACGTCAATAGCATTGCTAGTATGTTCATTGTATAAAATAAATACTTAATAAGAAGTTTCATCGTAATGTAATCAGTGGTATAGGAACGGCGTAGAAGACAGGCAAACATTTATTTATTTTGCCAGAAACAGTCGCCAGAGCTGTGTTAGATAGGTATCACATATCCTACCTTCATCAGTATTTTTATAAAAGTTTTTTTTTATAGAATAAGGGTGATAAACTAGCACACAGTCCACCTGATGGTAAGTGGATGCTGTGGCCTATAGACATCTACATCTATCCTCGATTACGAATCAAAATACAGTTGCGTAGTCACACCTAAGGACTAAGATGGAATGCCTCGTTTACAGTAAAAAAGAATCTCCGGATCTCTACACTCACCATACGAAACACAGCGGTATTAAGCTGCTATTCTGTGTGAGCGTGATCCTTCCCTGGTCGAACCGACCCATTCGTGCTACAATTATACCAGTAATATAGATGGAGCATGGCTCTACCACGTGGCAGAAATAGATAATATATATACCAAGACGGACTCCTTGTCGGAACCAGTAAAGTACCAGTATGATATGTAAAACCTGGAATCAAATTTGGGTGATGGTTTATTAAATTTAACCCAAGCGCCCGGCATCATGCTTAGGCTCTTATCTTGTTGCTATAATGTTTGGTGTTTGATGACTCTACTCTTGCTAAACACGTAAGCTTTACGAGCCAGCTCCGGTCACACCAGGCCCCGGTAATGCCTGATAACGCGGCCCGATAACGTATCTAAATCCCCCCACTTCTTAACCAAACATACAAACCGACTTTGCTCTATAAACGTGTTTATGGTGACCGTTTTGTGTCCGCTTCAATAGTGAACATGTCTCAAAATAATTTGCCAGTGTTCTATGAAAAAAAAAATATCTGTCGTAGAGTCAACAAGTCTGGACTTTTTCTAAACGTCAATGATGTGAAATCAACGTTATTTCAGAACTTCTTGATTTATTAAATAATTTTTTTAACTCGTTAATTCTACCAAGACAAAGGTAAGTTTTACACTGTCTTGTGTCTCCCATTATCGATAAACGTTATATGCGCTCAATCAGAAATTTAGAACTGTCAAACTGACGTTTTGATTTTTTTCAAGTTCCCCGTTAACATAATCGCACTAAAATGTATTTGATAAATATTTACTTTCATTTAAACTATTATTTAGTTTTCTCTCAAAATAATAAAATCAAATCAAATCTTTTTATTTTCAGACAACATAGGTCCATGTAAATAATTCTGTAACGGGGTTAGTAGTACTATATTATAATAATAATTTAATTTAAATAATTTACAAATCCGGACATTGTCCGCACATAGCTCCTCAATATAGGTGCATGTGGATCATCTGCCAACGTCCTCAGGATGCTGTTGACACTTCCCCGTACGCGGCTTATCAGTGACGTCACTTTCTTGCGCATGAGTGCCTGAAAACCATCCGTTCTCGCCTGCGCAAACATTTCAGATGCACTACAGAAACGACGAAGTTTCAACATCATCCTGAAGATATTATTATACTGGACGCGAAGGGTGTTTAACGACCCTTTGGTGTAGCTGATCCACAGACCGCTCGTGTACATGTTTTGACAAAATGCTTTAAAAAGCGTAATCTTGACTTCATCCGTACAACGAGTGAATCTAAGGACCAGCATGTTACCACGGACCGCCAACGCCCTACGCTCCCGTTCTATGTCTAAGGTCGTCGGTAAGTATGTGGCCCAGGTACTTAAATTGGAAAACTCTGTTCAGCTCCACTCCACCGAGGCAAATTGGAGGTATAAATTCGGGACACTTACCGGCGGCCTTAAAGACCATAAATTCGGTTTTTCTGGCATTGTAGGCCAGACCATGCGACTTAGCATAGCTCTCACATACGTTTAACATTTCTCTGATAGCACTCGTAGTGGGGCCCAGCAGCACCATGTCATCCGCGTAACTAATATTGTTTACATTAACACCAAAAATATTCAAAATATTCTTAAAATGGTAGCGTATCGTGAGGGCATATTAAATAATACATGCAATAATAATCATTGGCATGAGGTGATCGCTACCATGCTATTTAAAAATGTTTTTTTTAAAGGATAGGGTGACAAACAAGCACACAGTCCACCTGATGGTAAGTGGTCGCCGTGGCCTATACACATCTACATCTGTCCTCGATTATGAATCAAAATGCAGTTGCGTTGTCACCCGTGAGGACTAAGATGGAATGCCTCGTTTCCAGTAAAAAGAGTCTCCGGTTCTCTACACTCACCATACGAAACACAGCAGCATAAATCTACTATTTTATGCTGGTATTCAGTGAGAGCGTGGTCCTTCCCCGGTCGAGCCGACCCATTCGTGCTACAACTATACTACTAATATAACTGTAGCATAGCTCTACCACCAACGTTGCCAGATACACTGTAATTACAGTAGATCTACCGTATTTTAACGCCGTCTACTGGACACCGTATTTTTATAAATACAGTGTATGGAGACACAGTATTTTTTTTAACCAAAAACAAAATTTCGTTTTATAATGAACGCTACTTATGAAAAATATCGTAAATTATGAATGCGACGAATACGTCCGCCGAACAACACAAAAGAGTACATGGTATTCCATTGGGAATTCCCAGTATCGGCCGCACCATAGACGGTATTATTCAGGTAAATGAAGTTGGATATGCCATAGTGTTGTTTCAATGTTATTGATGTGTCATTTAAATTGTCCGGTATATCGTCTTAGTATTCAGTTCTAAAATATTACGCTTAAATATTTTCTGTTTGAAGAGTTCAGTTTGGTTGCCCAGTTTATGCTGAACATTTTAGCTCTTCCAAATTCTAACGCCGAGTGTGAAAGGGTGTTCAGCCAAATAAATGACACAAAACCTAAGAACAGAAATAGATTAATTACAGAAACAATTAAGGGCAATATGCAACATGTTGGCAAAACAGGCCATTTGTCGTCATGGCGGCAACTGTCTTTTTCTGCCAACTGACAAGATGCTAAAATCTTTTTACTCTGAAATTTACAAAAAATCAACAATCGACAGTGACAGTGATTAAACTTTGTGTATTAAAATACAAAGATATTCAGTTAGTTTGTGTATAGTATATTTAAAATAAATACATATTTTGGTTCATTAAAAATTTATTTCCTTTTAATATGTCATTTAATTACACCGTAAAATACACTGTATTTTTTTTCATAAAACACTGTATTTTCCTCTCAAACACCGTAATTTAATTTTGACAACACAGTATTTTTGAAAATCTGATCTGGCAACCCTGTCTACCACGTATAAATATTTACAACATTGTACATTATAATAATAACAATCCTGTAGTTGTTTCTCGCTGGTCCTAGTTTATCAAAGGTTTCGTCCGTAAGTGTGTAAAAGCATAAATTATTTCCAATAAGTATTACTTTAAAAAAAAAAACTTGTACTCTTTGTTGAATAAGAATTTGTCGTGAAGCGACAATTAAAAACTAAATAACCTAACCTAACTACAACAAAACAACCAAAAAATAAAATAAATTATTTAAAAATTTGAAAAGATTTACAGTTTCTTTTATAAAAAAAAGGTATGAAGGTGATGATGGGCTGTAATGATGATAGTGATTTACAATATTATTAAAAAAAAAATAACAAAAATAAAGATACTGCAACGAAGTATGCACAGGCTATGCCTATGATAGGTGCACAGCGCCTGCTCTAGGTACACGCAGAATCTGGAGAAAGCACATGCAGCGTCTGGAGAAGGTACACGCAGCGCTTGGAGTAGGCACTGGTGTTTCACGCCCGGAGCAGATACACGCAGCACCCGGAGTAGACACGCAGCGTCTGGAGTAGGTACACGTGGCGCTTGAAGTAGGCAAACACAACGTCCGGAGTAGACACACACAGCGTCCGGAGTAGACACGCAGCGTCTGGAGTAGGAACACGCAGCGCTTGAGACAAACACGCTCAGCGGCCGAAGATAGCGCGGGCACTAATAGGTGGAGGCGTAGGCGTGGCTAGGCGACGACTTCAGGAGAAGGCTTGCAAGATCCCGAGGCAGTGCGGATAAAGCCTTTAAGAGGTGCTTCTCGTATCAAAGCTGAAGTGAGGACCTCTATCGGCCGATTCTTCGGCTTTTATACTTTTTGACGGATCTGGGATAAGAACGAGAAATTATTTGAAATTATTTAAATTAAAAGCAAATTTTTGTAAATGGCCAAGAAGAAAAGAGTATTTTTGAAGTAAAAACATCAGGCCGGTAACAATATTTGAATAAAAATTGCCACGACAACCAGATAAACAACGATGTCAAAACATGTCAAATTTTGGTTTTAAGCTCGTAATACAGAAACGGCAAGATTTAAGTGAAAAATGAGATATTATTTATATAGGAAAAAAGGTAGCGCAAGAGCGCGCACGAAACCCGAAATTGTAGAGTTACGGAGAACTAAATAAAAGATCGAAAAAGGTAGACTCCATTGACACCGATTTAAAAAGTGCTGATAACGTGAAAATACGAAGTGAAAATGATTTGTTATTGTGTTCTTATGAATTAAAAATATTACAGGATCCTATGGAAATAAAGGTGATGCAAAATATCCAGTTTTGAGGTGAATGTAGAAAATCAAAAACAGAATGGAAAAATAAAAATAAAATAGTGTAAAATGATATGTAAGTATGTATGTAAGCATAACACTACATTTTCCCCCCGACCCTGGAAAATTTTTGACTCAGCAAAAATTTTGAGATGTACATTCCAAAATAAACCATAAAAACACAGCTTTGCAGTAACAGACATCACCAGGCAATATCAGATATACTATCTCTTACATTCATCATCTGCATTCAGGTAAGGGTGGAGTTCACATTCAATGACTACCACTCTAAAAGTGTGTTTTCGAAAGGACATTCAGGCTTATTTAAGGAGTTGTCATCCGCTCCTGCGTGGAAAAAAAAACATTTTGAAAGGACATCCAGGCTTATTTAAGGAGTTGTCATCCGCTCCTGAGTGAAGATAAAGTTAAAGAAATTAATCTTAAGCAAGCTTTAGCCGCTATGACTTAAGTAAAGATTAAGAACGGCCAGAGCGGTAGGGCTCAAAGCCAGAGATCAGCAACATCACTAACGAAATGTGTCTGAAATAAAAAGTGAAGATTAACCAACGAAAATTCGAGGTCCTAAAGCAAGATGTGTTGAAGAACACTGGATCACCAAACAAACGAAGAAATAAAAATAATAAGGTGAGAATGATTGTGATATTTATACATATATACAGTTAATAAAAGTTAAAAAAAATTATGATTTTACATCTTTGATGTGCCACTTGCCTCTAACTCCATTAGGGTCTTCAAGCACATAGACTAGTGGTGACAGTTTAGCTATCACTTTGCACTTGATGAACTTAGGGGCAAGTTTAGCATTAAAGTATGCGCCGGCATTGCTTAAAACATGGTTTTTACGCCAAACAGTGTCTCCCACATTAAATTCTTTAAAAGACCGGCGAAGATCATAGCGAGCGCTATTTTTAGCGTGAGCTATGTGAAGTTTAGTTTGAACTTTGTGAAAAATAGATGAGAGGAGACCAGCATTAGACGCGTAAATATCACGAGGCATAAATATCAATTCCTCGAGGCTATGAGTTGGAGTATAGAAGGAACCACAAGGTATTGTTTCCCTACCAAAGACTAAAAAGTTTGGAGTAAAGCCAGTAGCTACATTTGTAGCGCTGTTCATTGCGTACTGAATCTTAGCAAGATGGTTGTCCCAGGATCTATGATCGTCTCCTACTAGAGATGCTAGAGCTGTAATAATTGTACTATTAAACTTCTCCGTAGGATTAACCTGAGGACAATATAAAGCTGTGTGAAAAATACAAGGAACGTTATAAGAATTTAAGAATGAGTGGAATTCTCGCGACTGAAATTGAACCGCGTTGTCCATTATAATAGTTTGAGGAATGCCATGAACTAGAAAAACTGAATTTTCCAAAACATTAATAATATTAGCTGAAGTAGCACGTTTAAGGGGAAAAATCATAGTATATTTAGTAAAATTGCAGTTAATTACTAGAATATATTGGTTTCGTCTTCGAGTCATAGGTAATGGACCCATAAGATCTAAGGATATAGTTTGAAAAGGTCTGGAGCAAAGTTTGGGTTTACCCATAAGACCATAGGGAGAATGATTAGGGTGTTTGTAGGTTAAGCAGGTTTCACAAGACGAGATTAATTTGGCAATGTCCTTAAACATACCAGGCCAATAGTATTTTAAAGATATTTTCTTGAATGTCTTGAAGATACCAAGATGGAGTTCTGAAGGGGAACCATGGTTAACTTCAATAAGTGTATGCCTATCTCGAGGTAGTGGAACTTCTTTCCAAATAAAGTCATCGTTTAGACGATCGGGAGAATGGATGCAGCGGTAAAGTTTGTTATCCCTGATAGTGTAGTTGGGATATGCGTCTGGGTTGTTGGAGCATCCGAGAAAAATCTTGTTGTAGTGCTCAAGTTCACGATTAGGTGGTTCTTCAATCGTAATAGGATGTACGCCTTGAGGTGAAGTTTCTCGTGTATCAGGACGTTCTTGATTCTTATGTCTTGATAATAAATCTGGAACAACGTTATCCTTTCCTTTTTTATGTTTCAGGACAAAGTTAAAGCATGATAAGCGTAAAGTCCAGCGAGCAAGTCTTCCTGATGGATTCGATAAGTTCTGAAACCATTTAAGTGCAGCATGGTCAGTATATATTGTAAATTCTTTACCATTGTCTAGGTAACATCGCCAATGTTCTAACGCAGTTATTACAGCCAATGTTTCTCTTTCAGTAGTTGAGTAGTTCTGTTGATTTTTGTTTAGTGCTTTACTCATGTAAGCAATCACGACTTCTTTGTTATCTTGATGTTGAGTAAGCATTGCTCCTATGCCATAATTTGATGCATCACAATGTACAGAGAAGGGTAGTTTGAAGTTAGGGCAAGCAAGGACAGGAGCAGTTACCAAAGCTTCTTTAAGTTTCTGGAAAGCAGCTGCAGCTTGTGAATTCCATAAAAATTTAGGAGCGTTCTTCCCGGAACAGGTTAGTTGGTTGAGTGGAGAGGCAATGGTGCTAAAGTTTGGAATGAATCTTCTGAACCAGCTGCAGATGCCTATGAATCTTCGTACTTCTTTTCTGCAAGTAGGTACAGGATATTCTAAAATAGCTTTTATTTTATCTGGATCAGCACGTAGACCATACTCGTCCACTAGAAAACCAAGGTATTTCAGTTCTTTCTTGAAGAATTGACTCTTCTCAAAGTTAATAGTCAGATTAGCATATGAAAGTTTTTCATGAACTTTCATGAGAAGCGATATGTGTTCATCAAAAGTCTCGCTAATAATAACGATGTCATCCAGATAGCAAAATACCTTGTTCTCAAATTCAGGAGTAAAAAGCATATCCATTAATCTTTGTAGAGTTGCAGGTGAGTTAGAGAGACCAAAAGGCATTACCTTGAATCTAAACATGCCTCTTCCAGGTACATAAAATGCAGTTTTATCTTTATCAGCAGGATTCAAGGGAATCTCCCAAAATGCTTTCGCAATGTCGATGCTTGATAAGAATTTGGCATTCTTCAGGTTGTCCAAAATTTCGCTTATTAGTGGCAGACTATAAGCATCACGACGTGT